TGTGCGTCTTCTACCATCGTCTGTTGGACTATCGCCGGCCGGAGGTTGAATCGCTCGCAGAGCTCTTCGGGGCTTTCGATCGAGTAGAGGAGGGCAGTCCAATGCCGTCTCGTTCGTTGGAGTGGAAGCTTCCGGAGAACCATCACATCGACTCTCCCTTCCACTTCTTTAACGTACCATCAGAGGATATCGCTCGGAACATCGCCCGGCGAAGTGAATCTTCCTACTTCCTTAATCTGTTGCCCGCTGTTTATTCTGTTGTTGTCCTGTTATTCTAATCCTGATTTTCAATTTTCTTAAGTTTGCTTCACTTTTGTTGTTTTCTCTTGGCATTCTTCGTGGGGAATGTTCTTTCTTTTTGTTAGTTCATTGAAAATTAGTGTTTTTTGCTTTAATAAAGATAATGTTTTTACATATGATCCTTTTCATGCTGTAAGGAGTATTTATCCAATCATGCATACTGTTCAAGTTTGAAATTGAAATTTTTGGGTTTAATGCATCCCGTTTAATTCTGAAATTGAGATTCTGGGCATTATGCCTTCGTATTTCTGACCTTTTTTCCTTTATCTATACCGTTTTATCCTAGAGTTGCAATCCTCATTTTCCATTTTATGATTATTGCTTCACACTAGTTTTAATTTTCGTTGGCTCATTCTGGTTGGGAACGTTCTTTCTTGGTGTTAAGTCATTTCATATTCATATTAATGTTTTTATTTTTCTCTTTAAGAAAGAAGAAGGTTTTAGCTTGTGATCCTTAAACTTTTTATTGGATTATTTATCTAATAATGCATTATGTTTAGGTCTAAATTTAAGTTTTTTGTATAATTGTTGAATCCAAAAATGTCCGGGAAACATACTCAAGGAATGAAACGTTCTATTAGGAAGTGATTAAGAGAGAGAGAGGGAGAGAGAGCAGTAGTAGACAGACAAAAGGTGTCCCTTATTCATAATATGAATCCCTATTTATAGGCCTAGGTCCCAATATTACAAAAATACATATTAGCCCTCTCATTATTAACTTTTCAGGAGGATTTTTTTGGTAATTACAGAGTTATTTGCATATAATAAAACTGAGCGCCGATTCAATCGATGAGAGTTGCCCATCGTCTGTCAAGCCTTTGTCAGTTGATATATAACCCGAATGAGTGATTTGGGTCGATCGTCCTAAAGGCTGATTACTGTCATACGATAATTTCTCTTAGCATCTTCTGTCGATTGTTCGGATAGGGTACCTCTTTTGCCAATACTCATCTGGAAACCATTGTCCAAGGCTACGCTTGATCGTCCGCATCTTTCTGAGCTGCCCATCTGCTTTGAGATTCATACTAACACATTTTATGTGTATCTATTCAGTTCCCCAATTTTCTTGCTCCTCGAAACCTGTTCAGTACACGAGGATAAGATAATTTAAAACACTTATAAAATAATTAAATGATATTATTGCGCAATAATGGACTTTCGTGCCTGGGCCATTATAAATAGGATTTAGGACAAGGGAGGTTTGCACCATCGCCGTCTCTTCTAGATTCTTTGTCTTGTGTCCATCTCTTTACTTATTTTTCGCGATGTCTGGCGAAGGAGCCCATTCTTCTGATAAGAGTGTCCTTCTCAAGGCTATGAGCAATATGCAAGCACAGATCCCGTAAGTTAGATGTGAAGCGCAAACCAGCAGGTGAGGTATTAGTTGAAGGGGGGAGTAGGAAAAGAGTTGTGTTCAAGCCCAGAGTAGCCGAGTTCGAGACCCGACCTGGTCCTACTGGTTTTCTTGCGAGCCCTTCTCAGGAGAGGGTTGTAGGATAAGTAAGAGGTCATCCTGACGACCATCCTACGGGACACTCGTCAAGGGTGAATGTTCCTGTTGCGAGAGAAAGATTGCTCGTTCAGGTGGCTACGAGGGTCGTGGTTCCCCAAAGGAGTGCTGAGGAGGCGGCGACTGTGGCTGAGACATGGTTTCGACTAACTAGGAGCGGTTTCTCTTCTGAAGGCCGAGGACAAGAAAAAGCCGGTGATGACACAAGGTGTTGTGCAGGATGTCGAGGATCTAGGTGCTAAAGTCCATGGCACTGGCTGTCAAGTTTTGTCTTGTGCCACGAGGGAGGAAGAGGCGACCGGAGGGCACCGTGCGTTTTCTAACTTCATATTTCGCCGCCTTGCTGAGATGAAGGAGTGTTTTTCTCTTTTTCTTGGGGTATGCTCGAGGAGACGGTGATGGAATCCATGGCACTGGCTGTCGAGTTTTGTCTTGTGCCGCGGGGGAGGAAGAGGCGACCGGAGGGCACCGTGCGTTTTCTAACTTCATATTTCGCCGCCTTGCTAAGATGTAGGAGTGTTTTTCTCTTTTTCTTGGGGTATGCTCGAGGAGACGGTGATGGAAGATTCACTGAGGTTTTTGAGAGGGTTGACCAGATGGAGAGGGAAGTTGTTGGACTGCGCAAAGAACTTGTGGCTTTTCCGGAGGAGATGCTTTGCCAACCGTGGGGAAGTTACACGTTTGTGTTCGGAGTTGTCGGCATTAGAGAGGCGTCGCTCAGCCTAGGGACAACTATAATGACTTTTTCAGGCTGGGCGGTTAGTATATATATATGAACGGTTTCGCCATCGAGGATTTGTCTCGGGCTAAGACGTGAACAATGGCTTAGTCCGATTTCTCTTTACTCAGCTGTAAGCGAGGGTTCTACACAACGTCCTATCTCTTTTTGTAAATGAATAAATAAGAAATGAAATAAAATAAAACATGATATTTTTCTATTTATGGTAATGATTATTTTTTTTGATGACGTGTAGTTCCGTCGTATCAGTCGTATCGGTGGAGTTTCGACCTCTCAGGTATCCTTTCTCGGGTGTATATATACTTATGTGGCCGCACAATTGTTGAGGGCTTCTGTTTCTTTTCTTTCTTCATTCTTCTTCTTCCTTAAGGTCGCACTGTCGTTTCTTTTTTTCTTTTGGTTTCGTCACCCTTTCCTTCTTCGTTCATATTTAACGTTATAGATTCCATGGTCCTGAAATACTCTTAGGAGGCGTTCGTTTTGATTCCTGCTACAGTGGTTTCGGTTCTTTCTGTGGCCGACATAGAGGAGATTCAAGATTGTTGTGTTATGGATCCCACATTTCTCCTGCGACCGGCCGAGAACCATGAACGGGCTACAGATGACTTCTCTCATGACCTTGTCTTCTACAAGGATCATTTTAAGATGGGACTTCGACTACTGTTTTGTCGAGAGTTGCATTTAATCTTCAACCGCTATGGCATCATCCCTGCTCAAATCATTCCAAACTCGATCGCTGCTATCATGACCTATGTACTCTTCTGTCGGAGGATGAAGATTCCGTGGTCGATCGAACTCTTTAATCATTTATTCTCCTTCTAGATTGGTCATGATTGTTACATCCAGTTTGTCGCCGACACCAAGATTCAATTGCTGCAGCTAGAGAATAAGGTGAAGGATTGGAAGACGAAGTTCTTGGTCTTTTCTTGTGCAGACAGATGGGGGATCCACACTTCTCCCATTGAGTATGAGGTGAAAAAGTGAAGACCCTACCCAGGAACATTCAAGACCATAGAGCGTTAATTGAAGGTCAGCGCCTCTCTTTGTTTCAATATCTTGACCCCAACGTGATCGAACAAATGATTCATATGGATGGTGTCGATACTATGTCTGAGGATCTGTCATTAAGTTAAACGTGAAACCCAAACCAACATGTGAGGTATTCGTTGAAGGGGTGACTAGGAAAAGAGTTTTGTTCAAGCTCGGAGCAGGTGATCGCGAGACCCGACGTGGTTCTTTCGGTTTTATTGCGAGCCCTCCTCAGGAGAGGGTTGTAGGACAGGTAAGAGGTCGTCATGACGACCATCCTACGGGACACTCGTTAGGGGTGAATGCTCTTGTTGCGAGAGAAAGATTGCCCGTCAAGTTGGCTACGGGGTCGTGGTTCCCCAAAGGAGTGCTGAGGAGGCGGCGATTGTGGCTGAGACATGGCTTCGACTAACTAGGAGCGATTTCTCTTCTAAGGGCGGAGGGCCAAAAAAAGTCGGTGAGGACATTTTCTCTTATACCACATCTGAATTGGGGCAGATTCTTGGTATGTAGTTTGAATAGCTTTTTGCATATCTCTTTTTAGAAACTGAGGTCCTGACTGTCGGTTTTGTATCGACAGATATCGACGTTGGCCCTGAAGATGATGCGACTGTTGTGGAACAGGTTGTGATTGAGGGGATGAAAATGGGATAGGTTTTTGCGGGGAGAGCAGATATGGCGGAAATGAGCGCATCGAAGAAAGGTGCTGAGTAGGGTGTCGAGGATCTGGTGCTGCAGGCCTGGGTGCTAACCGTCAAGTTTTGTCTTGTGCCGCGAGGGAGAAAGAGGCGACCGGAGGTTACCGTGCGTCTTCTGAATTCATATTTCTCCACCTTTCCGAGATGGAGGAGTGTTTTCTCCGTTTCCTGGGGTATCCTCGAGGAGACGGTGATGGAAGATTCATTGAGGTTCTTCAGAGGGCTGACCAGGTGTAGAGGGAAGTTGCTGGACTGCGCGAAGAACTTGCGGCTCTTTCGGAGGAGATGCTTGCCAACAGTAGGGAAGTTATACGTTTGTGTTCGGTGTTGTCGGCGTTAGAGAGGCGTTGCTCAGCCAGAATGACCTTTTCAAGCTGGGCGACTAGTTTATGTATGAACGGCTTCGCCATCAAGGGTTTATCTTGGTCGAAGCCGCGAATAATCGCTTAGTTCGATTTTCTTTACTCAGTTATAACCGAGGGTTCTGCGCGACTTCCTCTCTCTTTTTGTATATAAATAAATAAGAAATGAAATCACAAAAAATAAAATATTTTTCTATTTCTGGTAATGATTACTTTATTTGGATGATGTATAGTTTCGTGATATCTGTCGTATCGGTGGAGTTTCGACTTCCCAAGTATTTTTTTCGTGTGCATATATACTTATGTGGCCGCAATTATTGAGGGCTCCTGTTTCTTTTCATTTCTCATTCCTCTTTTTCCCCAGTGTTGCCTGTCGTTTCTTTCTTTCTCTGGGTTTCGTCTCCTCTTTCCTTCTTCTTTCTTGTCTAAAGTTATAGACTCCATGGTCCGGAAATACTCTCAGGAGTTGTTCGGTTTAATTCCTGCTACAAAAGTTTCGGTCCTTTCTGCGGCTGACGTAGAGAAGACACAGGATCATTGTGTTCTGGATCCCACATTTCTCCTGCGATCGGCCG